ATTTCAGACCACATGTCATTCCCTAGAATATCATTTCCTTATTAACGATTGTGCAAGAGAAGACACATAAACACAGATACAATTCAAACAAAGAAAGAGAATGACACGTGTTCTGAAATGGATAAACATTACGCCCAAGGTAAAGAGGCGTACAATTTGTTTCTTTGAGCACAATTACCGTACTCACACCTCCTCTCCCTTCGTCTTTAATGTCACTGTTATACTCTGTTGTCATAGTAACCAAAGATTGGTAGACGCTTGTGCACCAACCACCTTAAAGCGAGTGTTCTCTACGGTGAACACCTAGCAATTCAACAAATCTCAAAACAACAATAAGCGGTATGCTAGAGAGTATTGTATACAAACTAGGACTACCCGCCTCGAAGGCACGAGAGAGTTATAAATTGAACACAAGAAAATTGTAGCATTTTAGATGTTGTTGTGCTGCGCTTGTCAATTTTTGGGTTGATTTCCGGCCGTGGGACTGGGACTGAATATGGTTCCCAGCCTCCCTCCGATGAACAAACTGTGAAAAAATCGCGGGCGCAGTTTTACGGCTTAAATCCAAAGCCTCTCGACCTTGAACCTTTCGTGGTCTTTCGTCTCCATCAACTAAATTTATAAACTGAAATATCAGGATATTTGATTTTGCATATAAAGTTCGGCTTTGCTAATTAGTASCGACCTCGAAACAAGTTAAAAAATATTTGATGTGTATATACGACATAAAAGCCGCCATGTTGGTTGACTTCAACAAAAGATTTGGTCTTTTTTGCTCAAGCAACATGGCGGCCATGGAAGAGGAAATGAGCTATGTAACAGCCATTTCGAGGTTAAGGAAAATACTGGATCGAGTTTAAATTGTGGGACTGTTTTAAGGGGCCAGTTTCAGTTCTCGCTCGTTCCAAATTTCCAGAGTTCCCCTAAAACCACTGTTTTCACCCAAATGTCGCCCAAACCCACAAGAACGCCTGCTTTGCAGGCTAGGAACAAAATAGACGCGCCATCTTGGAAATATTCCCCTTAAACTGTCCCACAATGCAATGCCAACTTTACCCATTTTTTTTTCTTCAACCTTGAAAAGGCTAATTTAAGTAACGAGAAGTCCATCTAAGTAACGTTATAATATCGATATTCGCTATTTAACACCAAAAAACAGTGTTTTTGATTGTTTACTTCGAGACCAAAGCATGCCACATCAAAGATAGCTTTTTCTGACTAGCTGCCAATTACTTTAAATTTTTATAAAAAAACCCTGACATATCAAGTCTTGTTTTTAATTTAAGACATTTCTAAGCAGTTTCTATATATAACTTGTAGTATTCTCAAATGTTATCTATTTTTGCTGCGTCGCTTAGCAACCAGCTAATCATGCATAATATCAACCTCGTTCCCAGGACCCACTCTCCTGGGCCCAGTGGCATAAAGCTCTCTTAAGATAAAAAAGCTTAAAAACACTCGAAAATTTTGTCTTAGTACAATGGCCTGTCGTTTTGGAACAATACTTACGGATGCTCTTATCTTAAGAGAGATTTATGCAACCGGCCCCTGGCGAGCGGGCCCTGAGAAGGAGATTGGCCCAAAATGTTCTGAAACAGCGTTGCAAAACATGTATTTTTTCTCGTCAAATCAAGTCAACTTTAAATCATCTGTATATAACAAATGGCTTTTTTTACTGTATGTTGATTAATGTCGTGTTATTTTGTGTTGTAGGAAGAAGTAGCTGAATATATTTTTCCTTCCTATGATCATTCAACTGCAGAAGCTGAACATCTTATAAGCCATGCAGACAAGAACAAGGTACGAATGATTTTTCAAGCTAGGCTGCCGAGAGCACGTTTTCACTCAGTCCCTAGAGAGTAAACTGACAACATGAGATAGCAGCCATATTGGTGAACCTAACAATAGAAACACTAGGCAAAAGGTACACCAATATAGTGGCTGTGACGTCGCGTGAAAATGCTCTATTGATGGCTTTCAACCATTCCCAAGAGAATTAAATAACAAAAGACACGGCGGCCATGTTGGA